AGGAGGAGGAGGAGGAGGAGGAGGAGGAGGAGGAGAGGAGGACCAGTGTAAACCCAAGAGTCATCAACGATGTTGGAATTGACCCTCCCTCCAAGCTCCCTCGTCATAGGCCCCTACAGCGTTTCATGTCCATTGAAGGCACTGCCTCGTTGGAAGAGAGAACAACCGTGTGAAGACCTTGGGGCATGCCAAAACATTGTTCTCGGGACTTCCACGCCACGGATCAACCTGACTGCTGCGTCCTGACGATCTGGAATCGTGCCAGAACGCCATTTTTGAGACTTCAGCACTACGAATAAGCAGAGCTGTTGCGCCCGCATAATCCTGAATCCTTCCAAAACATAATTTCTGGTACGCTGATCATGGGAATCCGTGAAACTTTTGCGAATTCTGAGAATGAATGTGCGCGGCACTGAGGCGAGAGTCACATTTTGAAAAAGAACCGCCCTCAATATGTGAAATTCTTGCAAGTTGTTAAAGCGAATGTGCGCGGCGCTACGGCGAGAGCCACAGTTTAAAAACCACCTGCCCTCAATCGGTGAAACTCTTGCAAACTTTTTAAAACGAATGCGCGCGGCGCTAAGGCGAGAGCCACCTTTTGAAAACCACCCGCCCTCATTATTTGAAACTGCTGCCATGTTTTAAGCTTCAGAGTCAAGAGTGGTGGGGATGTCTCAGGCGAAACGCCCGGCCCGCCCTAAAAACAGGCCTCGGGGTGCGACAGGGAGACAGTTATTCATACGGAAAAGGAATGGAGGAGGAGGAGGAGGAGGAGGAGGAGGAGGAGGAGGAGGAGGAGGAGCGCCAGTAGCCTGTGGAGGAGAGGAGGAGGAGGAGGAGGAGGAAGGAAGGAGGAGAAAGGAGGGGGAGGGGGAGGGGCAGGAGGGGGGGGAGGAGGTGGAGGAGGAGGAGGAGGAGGAGGAGGAGGAGGAGGAGGCCTCCCCCAGCACCCCCGCCCCTCCTCGCCTCCCGCCCCCCTATGGGCCCCCTCGCCGGCGCTCCCCCCGCCGCGGAGGCGCGCTGAGCTCCGCTGCGGCGCGCCAGCGGGCTCGGCCCTGGCGGCGGGCGCGCTGGCGCGGGGCCCCCGCGCGGCGGCCGGCAGGGCCGCGGCGCTGGGGCGGCGCCTGCCCGCGGGGGGCTCGGGGGCGGCTAGGCCTCCCCCCGCCTTCCTCGAGCAGATTCTCTGGTCGAGCTGATTCCCTTCACATCCCTCAGCGTGAGGGAGGCTCAGCTGCTCCGGGCAGTGACAGCCCTTGCTCCCGCCTTCCTCGACCAGGTTATTGGATCGACCCGATCCCCAGTTTCCTCTCCCTCTCTCTCGTTCCAGGCGGCGACTTTTTATCCTGCCACCACCGTCCGATTGTCGCCGGCGCGCAGGCTCGAATCCGCGGGGCGCAGTCCCGCGGGGCACGCCGTGCTCCCCCCGCGGGCCGCGGGCGGCCACAGCCTGCGGCGCGACTGCGATCGCGATCGCGATACATCGCTCGAGAAACAAGCGACTTCCAGGCTCCCAGGTAGCAGCACCTCCTCCGACCCAGAGATGTCGGCAGGGGGAGGGGGAGGAGGGGGAGAAGGAGGAGGAGGAGGAGGAGCAGGAGCAGGAGGAGGAGGAGGAGGAGGAGGAATCGGAATCGAGCTCTGGGGGCACTAGGTTCGTCTGATCGTGTGAGATGCCTGGGCAACTCCTGGCACAAACTGCCACTTTATAGCATTCAGATGTAACCTGCCTTCGCCCCAAGGACCTATTCAGGAACTTCTGGGATGAGGAGCAGAGGGCTGGAAGAGGTGCCTGGGAGGGCGAGCGGGCGGGCGGGCGGGCAAGGGACGGGGGGGGGGTCGGGTGGCTGCGCGGCAGCCAGGCCGACCCCTCGAGGGGCCGCGCGGCTCCGTCGCGGCGTGGCGGCGTCTGGGCGAGGAGCCCGGCAGATGGGGCCCCCCCCCCGACGGGGGGGTGGGGCAACGGCTGGGCGCAGCTGGACAAAGTAAGCGTTTTCTTGTTCCGCGTTTCGACACTGGGCGGAACGGGGGTGGGGTCTGGCTCCGGACCTCTGGTGAACGCTGTCTTCGTCGGCGTTTCGACATTGGGCGGAAAGGGGGGGGAGGGGGAGGGTCTGGCTCCGGACCTTTTTTTTGTGCCCGGACAGAACACCTGGGCGACACAACCCGAAGGGAGGTGCCCAAGGTGCCTGCATGAATTCACATGCAGAAGCTCCGGACTTCTGCTCAGTGCGACTGTTTTGAACTGCGCGTCCTACGGGGGAGACTCCACCTGCTCGAAACAAGCGCCAAAAACAGCCAAGACCTACTCCACGGGGGGGGAGGGGGGGGGTGCGAGGGCCCGCGCCGATCGGTAAAACAATGAAATCAGAAAACGATCACAAACTGGTCAGGATGGTGTCCAGGAAGGGCCCGAGGACCGATGTTGAGCGAAAAGGCACGGGTCGACCAAAACCTCCACCGTCCTGAACAAATCAAGACGGCCGGCTGTTCCGAGCTTGTT